TAATTCCAAAGAATACGTTTGTATTGCCTATTGCTATGTGCACACGTTCGAAATTGTGACATTCCCCTCAACACATGATTTATAGTAGCTGTTTTGCTATTGCGTGTCTTTAGGATCATAAATTAAAATTTGGTCGAGGTTACATATAATATAATGATTTATTTAAACACTCATACTACTCTTCCCTGACACACAAATTTGACGCTGGTTAGAGATTTCAGAAATGTTGACCCAACTATAGTTTACCCAATTGAGTTTACTTTCACTACATGGACGAATTTATTTTACTTGTAGTAACCATTAATAAGCGACTTTTAGCATATTGGATTGAAACGTGGCACATAAATGCAACTTGTGGGATTTGTGTGAAGTTTCCGTCGTCAAATGTATATTAGTACTTCAGTATTAGTTTAACCATGTGTGGACGACTATGTTTAGTAATGAAGGTTTTAATGGAATATGTTGTTACAATTGCCCCAGCAAACGAGAAGAAAGTCATTAAAATGTCTGAAATGCTGCATCTACATTTTAGAGAGATTTTATGACATTCAAATTTAGTCGATCAATGAAAATCGGTTACGTTTATGGATTTTCTTCTATACTACCAATACAGAGCCACTACTAAAACCGTATATCTATTTTGAATAGTTACTCGCCAATTAAAAATTATCATTTACTAAATTTCACATACATGATAACTACATAGAATTGAATAGGAATTTTAGAAAAACGTATATTGAATATGGGTAGAAAAATACGTACAAAAACACACGTTCAGACAAGTCATCATTCACGTGTCTATATTATGGTATGAGAATAGCATACACGAATATATAGCTGAACTAAATCATGGATAACTCAAGCTGACAGTGTACTGTATGTGTATTATACGTGAATGTGGATACAAATTTAACACCATTAACCTGAAAAGCAGGTGTTATTCAAATTAAAAGACACATAACTTGTGTATAGTAAGATATAGTTCAATTCATCGTACAATACAATGTCAGTGCCATATTCTTCTTTTTGCGCTTCGAATATTAAAGTTTAGTGATAATTGTTTTGCTGAATACAAAATTATTCCACGTGGCGTGAATCTGCGTGATCGGTTTTCAGACCTCTTCACGCAGTAAGTTCGTTTATTTGGGGATATTTAGTGGCTGAGCGTTTGATGTGCCGTGGCGATTGGGCGCTATACACGAGCGTATGTTCCAGTAATACGTACAGTGCATGATTACTTTCGATGTAATGTGATATGTTATCAGCTTCTATACGTTAACAGTTGTTTAATCATGGCTGCGAATCTCACAGCTTATCTAGCGTGTATTTATAATAATATAACTCCAAATAACATTTATTACGACAAATAATAGTTATATACATATTCACCGTGCATGCCGCAATAATATGAGGTTAGCACGAAAGTACGACAAAAGGATATCGATCGACACATTGTAGTGATAAATTATTGAGAGAAGTGGCAACAAAATTGCGAGATGCGAACGTTTGTGTTCAATGATGATATGTTTTCTCCCTCTAGCGCTTTTGTGTGTTTTGTGTGACGAACGCGTCAATGTCAGTGACATTGTTTACCCTAAACAAGGAACAATTAGAAAAATAAGCTGTATCTGTATGCACAGAGCCCGTACGTTCCTTATGAGTAATGTTCTCGCTAAATGGTATTCCTATAATATTAATATCTTTGGACAATCACAATTCGTATAATTACTTGTTACTTATTATTCATTTGGTCAGATGAACATACATTACAATCCATTGATCTGTGTTCAGAGTTATGTTATCTTATTTCTATTAGATATTTAAGCTAATTCCCTTATCAGATTCACATATCTGTAAGCGCCGGATATGTGACTTGATTCAGTCAATCGAATGTTTAGATTCACATTAACTATGTTATAATTATACAGATATTTGTTTTTCTTGTGTCCAATTTGCGTTCTCGGTTTTTCCCAAACAAGCCTATAATCAATTACGCGATTACGTTACACTACATTTTGGGTAAAATATAACAGAGATAATTTTCATTTAGACCACATCTGCCCACTTTAATTTTACATTTTACGAATAAATAACTTTCTTTTTCATTCCAGATGAACGAGAATGTTATCGGAACCGAAATAATTATTTTAATTGAGTTCATTAATTTAATTAAAAATATATGTACACGAGTATACAAATCTGTTAAATAAACCCTATATTTATTCATTCAACTATCCGTGTTTTGTGAAGCTCCCTTGAGATAGATTGGCATTCTTCAATATCACGATTCATTTACGTACAGATTGCCTTAGGTCGACAATGAGATTAGTTAGTAAAACGTATGATAACGAAGCACGTGCACGAGTCATACAAAGACACATTACTAAAACACTTGCTATATCTATAAATGTTACAGTAATCGTGTTACTTGACAAGTGTGTTTACAACACTTTTACCAAAGGTATCTCCAAATAATGACCCGCTTAAACCTTTATTAACAAAAGCTATAATCACCATGGTTATTTGTTCGGCGTTCATAGCTTTGAATAGTTTGAAGCAATCTAAACACAGAACGATGCTTCTCATATGTACAAGACGCATCACACGCATTGACTCATTCACGTCACTTCTAACTGTCACAATATCAAATTCAAAAGTCGGCACTATCATGTTTAGACCCTGGAACCAAATTAAGACTAGTACAAATTTACAATATAAACGTATAAATCTGTTGACGTCAATCTTCGTATATTATATGACCCTGGCATTGTACCCAAAAATGTAAATTACTAATACATTTTTCTACGAGAAGTGTTTTATACTGTTGTTTAATGATTGTCTACTATTTGCCTTGCTACTTCATAAAATACAGCAATGTAGGTAATTGCAATATTGAACGTTTAGTTCACTGAGTAATCTACTGAAGAGTAACCCTATGTATCTTACAAGAATATATTGCTACCATGGTCGACTGATTGGTGCAGTAAGTTTCAAATCAATCCTGCATATGGATGAATGTGGTTTCATAAGCCGAATTATATGACCTGTAGATTGTTTTACTTGTCAGCTATGGTTGATAATAAACTTACTTATTTGTTTGTCTTAAAACAAGATTTATAAAAATAGAAAAGAAACGTATAAAGGTATAAAGGCATTGTTTGAAGCTTACAACAACAAGAGGATATAAAGCTATGGTTTATTCAGCATATGCATTTTTTTAACAATGCCTATATGTTTTAATGATAATAGCTTTAACTGCTATTTTATAATTTAACGTGGGTTATGTGAATGTGGAATATCTTTATTTATTCAATGAATTAAAAAAATGCTGAGAAGTATTATTGGTTCAATGTTTTCTTCTAATGGACAATATAAAATTAGGTAAAATAAATAATCGGGAAACTACATCAAACACCATTTATATGCACTAATTTAATTAGTAAGTAAAACATCATGCAGAGAAATGAAACTTAATTGCAAATTAAAATACTTTACAGCGAGTTAAATAGAATAACATTCTTTTTATTTATATTATTAACACTAATACTGTAGAATCTGAGTCACAGATTTGTTTTGATGTTTTCCATTCAAGAGTAAACTTGCAACACTATTACATTTTTATTGACATAACGAGATGCGCTCGTGTTAATAATTACTAGATAATAAGATAATAACAAGGTCATTGGTGCATGTGATTGCATTTGTATTACTCATTATATGAACAGTTCATAAATTGTGTTATTCCCCTCGGATCTTTATACTTATTTGGCCATGACTTATCAACACTGGAAATATTGAACATATTTTGTCAAGGTTATATATGATACAATAATATATTTTAACACACAAACTACCATTTCATGACTTACTAAACATTTATGAAAAACACAGTATAAGACAAAAAAGAGTAGTAGGAGTAGAACAATGTGTGGAACAATGAATTTAAAGCTACATTTCTTGAATGTCAGAAAATACAAATAATTCATTGTTTGTGCAAATGCTTTGCATGAGGCAAAATAATGCTGTAGAGGGTTTATAATTCTTTTGTGTATTTTCCTTATTATTATAGCCGTGTATATTTTAATTTGAATGAATGAAATGTATAATTACAAACCATACTCCCACCAGTGGTAACATATTAAAACCGGAGTAGGCAGACAGTTTATAAAAACTATATTGTAATATACACTTCATTTTTCACTCGGCGGACGCTCATTAACGTTCATGTTCACTATCGAAAATAGTATTTTTGTCAAGTAGTATAAGATGTATACGATCATGAAACACGTGTATTTAAATAACTACTTACATATATTATATATACTTATATATTTGCCATTCCATCATATGACAAAGTAAAGCTTACTTTGACAATCATTATGCACATAGGCCGTTTATGTATGTTTTGGTGTAATAGGTAACCAACAATTACGTGATTCCGTATTAAGTAATATCTAAAACAATTCTAATTTGCATACTAATTAACTGAATTGCACAATATTCATATTGGGTCTTAAAAGTTAATACCTAATTGTTTTTTATCCATTGGAACTATTATACGATAAACACATTATGAATACTAGTAGTTGAAATCAAAACATGTGACCACTTACAAGAACGTACTCTTGATTAACTAATTGCCTTGATAACATACCAACAAGTTTATTTGTGTACATATAAAAGTGTGCATGTGCGATTTGACCTGGAAATAGTATGCACATGCCTTTTGACAAATTCAATTTCAGTCATTGAGACTATCGCATCTTGCGGTTTATGTCTAAATATGTTGGACAAGATATGATACCACCCTTTAGCAGCGTTTAATTGATTCACGACGTATGCAAGCAATTATTTCTTAATAATATGATACTATTGTTTCATACGATACGAATATTTTAATTATTTGAATGAAAAAAGAATTTTGACTGTAACTCAAAATCACCCCCAGTAACATTCTAATTACTTTTTTTAGGAATAATGTATTTAACAAATATAAATACCTGTGATGTTCTGCCTCGCAGCTTCCTGCAATATGAGCCGCATGCCCGACGCTTGGATGAAGGTCACCAATACTTTAACTGATGGATTTGTTCTTATCAAGTCTACAATCTCTGTGACTCTCTTCGGCGTTGAATGTGTAGGCAAAAGTTCGCTAAACGCAACGCATCCACCATTGCCTTCGAAATCATCAATGACTTGTTGAACACCGGGTCGTCCATAATCATCGTCTGTAGCAATTGTACCTATCCATTCCCAACCGTAGCGCTCGATTATTTCAACCATGGCACGGGACTGGGATTTATCACTAGGAATGGTTCTAAAGAACGATTTGTAACGCAGATATTTACTTAATAGTGTGCTCGTTGAACCGTGACTCACGAAAGGAATGTTATATTTCCCAAAAATCGTACTGACTGCTGTAGACACGGATGATCGTGACGCGCCAACGACTGCTTTTACAGTGTCTTCACCTTCCATGAAAGGACTGATGAAATCTAAAGCAGTTTCAGCTGACGGCGCCACCGAACCGCAGCTATCACGGATATCGTACCCTAAAGATATTCCAGGTACAAATGTTGTATTTCTGTTCACCTCATCGATAGCAAACATCATCGCCTCTGCGAGTCGGTATCCCTCCTCGTTAAAATGTAGACAATCATCCCTGAGTGGGCCAAACAGGAGGCTATCATCGATACGTTCTAATTCTGTGTGAAAGGGGAACATTCCCCCAATAACTACATCCCCCGATTTGTGAATTCGTCTTGGTAAACAATGAGCGTGTTCATTTCCAGAGTAGCCAGCGCAAAGCCATACAAGTATAGCGTAACCAGTTTGCATTACCATGAACCTTACGTGTCGGCACATTGTGTTGTCAACTCTACGATCCGTCTGGTCAGCCGTCGATTATTGAGTGCTTAAGTCATGCTTACATTATATTAACATTCACAGCAATCAACCAATCCAATGAAGCATTCAGCCTCAATATTTATCTCATAATTACCCATGTTAAAATTACATTACTTGTATGCAAATATACAGTCACATTAATATTCATGAGGTTTGTTATAATGACAAGCTAATTGAAGTTGAATTGTATTGTTTAGTATGAGAGAATAAGCATATTTAATTGCTCAATTGTGAATGAAATCCAATATGTTATCACGTAAATATGATATAATATGTATGACATATCTTCTAAACATATATGACCAATAATATTGCGCTGATGCCCAGGAATCCTGACCAATAGCATGTCACTTCGGAGGCTGTATAATGTAGCGGGAGTGTTGATTCACTTTTGTCAGTGTGATCCAGGTAAATCATTTGATTAAAGCAGTGTGTCGTGTTGTTGAAGTGCATTGTTAATGTTACTAACTTGCAACTCAGGGTTGAGTAGATAAATTCCCATAATAGAAACAAGTTAAATTAATTATAAATTATTCATACATTGGAGACGCTTGACAGAAAGATAGACATGATTAAATATAATCATTGTGCAAGGCTGTAACCCTTTCACAACGAATTTAATTAATCAGGCCATATTATGATAAGAAAAACTTGACACTTGACAAATGAATTTGTTTATCAAATAGAAATGGAACCACGCCATAGATAATTCATTCTGCTAAATAAGGGGGGTCTGTATTATTATATACACTTTGCTGTTTTTTTAGATTAGTATCACTGTCACGAATACATCTAAATTGTATTTTTGAAAAAAAAAAACATTCGTCAATTACATGACACGTCCATATGTATGAGGCAAAATATGTCTTACTGTCGCCACGCTACAACTAGCCATTCTTAGATAATGTTAAATTACTTATTTGAATAATAAATGTAATCGTTCGACATACTCTGAACATATACAACGAACAATTTTAATAGCAGCGAAACATATTTTGAATATAATGATTCGCACGCTTTGGCGCTCCATGTAAAGTGATATTTTGTCTTTTGTGGGGGTGTATAACGTGCAAATTATTTGATATATGCGATTTATAGATTATTCTCGTGTTTATAAATTGTTGTGTAAGTGGATGAGAATAAAAATACTTTTATGTGACGTTGATACTGAGTTAAAATACAGTCAAAATGAATTGAATAGGTATAGAATTTTTTCGATGTCTTATCCCTTCTGTGAAATGAATACCCTAATATTTAATGATTCACTATAGGATTTGAGTTGTTTATCATTAAATTCTTAAAATGCAAGTATAAAAAAGTAATGCTCTATTGGTGCATAACTTAATATCTACGTACCCCATCTAAACGAGAACGGTCCGATTATTGTAATGCGTCTGTTGAAGGCAAACATTTTACAATTGAAACCAGTAATATACATGCAAAAAAACACGACATTCTATTCTGGATTGTTTGGAAAACGCCGAAGCATTCAGTTACCTTAAATACAGTATAATAGAAGTACAATAGAAGGCGAGATACGCAAACCACATACATCATCTATCATTTAATTGCCCCTGAAACTATATATGCGTAGAATGACTAAAATAGTAATATATACACCTATATAACACAGCCTGTATTCACAGTTATTATATAGATGAACATATTTTTTATCAATATACAGCGATGCAAGAATATAACTAATATAAATATACATCTGTCACCGTAACGCTATAAGTTACAGCTTGCCGTAATTTTGCGGTATTTTACGGCGTATTTTCATCCTACCATATTAGAAAATTCTGATTACAAAAATGGAATGATTACGCGCGTAAGCGTTCACTAATAGGTAAAACAAACATGGCTGCCAACAGGGTTTGACCGGACCCCACACAAGGAAGTTCGCTGATTCTGTTCTAAACATTTAGGATTTCGGCATTCCCATGATGTATCCTCTATTATGCGGTTACCTCAAAGTATGCACTCAGACAGTACGTCTTCGCATCGACCAACGCGAATACTATTGTTGTATTTTCTCCGTTGCGTACTTTGAGGTATTCTCGTAATAACCTCATATTCTCGAGTTGGCGCGTATATTCAGCTGTATATTTGTCATTACGGATTCAACGGAAAACCTCGTAAACACAGGTGAAACTTATTATCAATTCGAGCTCTGTTAATGACTATATTCGTCATGTATTATAAACATATCTGTATTCAGCATGTATTAATGCAATCGGTATTTGTTCAAGTACTCAGTCGCATTAATTATATCAGATAAAGATACCATGATACAGTATGTGTTCACTAAGATATATTCTAATTTTTATTGAAGAAATTAAATTTTGAAAAATCTTACCTAAATCACTGTTAACGTACAGTACCGAAATGGGTTCAACATATTGATTTTGCGCACCATGTACAACAGATATACTCAGACATTTTATTCATTACCCTGCTCGTATTAAATTATTGCATCATTCTCGGCATGTAGTACGTTGAAATAGTACGTTGCAGTGAAATAGCTTGCGAGTGAGTGTATGTTCGTTTTAAGGACAAAGACGTGTTTAATCGTCATTAAATAGGTGTACAAATACACGCACAATTCCACTTTAATGTTTCGCTGTCTTACGAAGACGGATTGTATTGTTCATACCGATCCAGATTGCTCCGCTCACGTGACGTTTTGTGATATGAAATTTTCCGTTCACTATTTTAAGTCGCCATTTTAGTGTTGAAATATTTTTTGACAAATAGACTACTAAACGTAATAAAAAGCTGTTTAATGTTATAATCAAACCAATTTTACTTTCAGATTTTTCAGATCATTTATGAAACTATTAATATTGACGTTTTATTGAAAAGGTGGCGATCGCAACTCAATCCATAGTAGTTTTCAATATAAACCAATAAGTATAAACCAACAAATGTATATCTGTTAGCAATAAACAGGAACCATAAACATCACGACACGATCATGGTACATTACAATCCCCAGATGGTTGCTGACAGTGCTTAACCAAATATTGCAATTAAAAACCAGTATAGTAAGTAATGAGTACAAATTCACCGATCATATACCATGGTTTCTTGACATGCAGCATACATATCATCCGTTATAATAAAGTATCATTAATATATGATATAATCATTTATCCCTCTCCCTCATTAAAAATAGTTAATATGGTGTCATATTTATTACTATTTACACATACCCATCTATACGTATACACGAATAAGTTGTATTTTTATATGATTGCGTGTAAAAGAGCTGTGCTTTATCAAACATGACGATGACGCATGTGATGCGTATAATGTTTTGGAGAACTGTCGTCTGTCATTGCACATTCGTTATTAATGGAAACATGATCGAGTCACATCATTACTGAATGTCGTTATCTGATCCGCAGGTCAGCATAATTGAAGAAGAAAAACACGTTTTATAGTATGTATTCCCCGGATAGTTGTGTACAATATTATTTTACTCTACGTCAAGTTTATTTTTTGTATTATACTGACACAACCTATTTCCGCTGCAATCATGTATATAATGCATTGAGGGGTAAAAACTATAATGACTTTATTCAGTTTTATACGTTTATTTCCCCCTTCACAGTGGATAATTTTTGTTAAATCTTACATTGAACCGTGTCATTGGTATACATGTAGTCGCACGGTAAGGGTTGGCAATAGAGTTGATAGAATCATCGGAATAATCTTTTCTGATTGTTGTCAATACACGCCCTATAAATTGTATCTCGCCTCCTTTGTATGTTCACTACAACTTTGAATGTTAAGAACACGAGGTTCAATCGAAAAATAAATAGTTCCCATTAAGATTATATTGTTGTGCTCGCACAAACATATGTACATTTGTCGTTATTATTTTCTCGTAATTATATTTATCATTTGTAAAATAATTATACCAATTTGGTAATAAATAGTGATAATTAGTCCCATCGTTGTAACATAATAGTCGGCTCCGACTATCTGTTAAATTTAAATAATTTTAATTTTTGAAGTAGATAACTCGACGACGGCTTATTTCAATGTTAATTTGACAACCCTGTATATTTGTCAACACCTGTATAGTTTTTGTTATTTGTATATTCCAGTTGGCATTAGACGGTCTATAGCAAACATAAACAAATGAAAATCAAGGCGGATTGAGGAAGATGAAAATTGAACAGCACAAACTACGGAATTCATCCGAAATATTTAAACAACAATGAACGACTCACCAAACCATGATAGGCGAATGCGACATATATGAAGCACAAAGTATGCTTGAGTGCATTATGGGTAGGCGAGAAGTTCATTATTGCTATTATTTTGTAGCGTTGTCCGTTTGTGTTGCTTTGCTGCCACAAAGAAACATTTTGGAAAACTCCACAGTGAACGGAATACTTACATTGCCACTGAATCTGCATAATCTTATATGACAAACTGAAAAAAAAACTAGTTTTAATCAATCAAATATTATTTTAAATCATTTACTAGTGAATTGTGAGTGGGCGTGTGATAGGTGTGTGGCGTAGAGTAGCATTGTACTGAGCGCCCGACGCCCGAGCGAACGACACGCTAAGCAAGTGTGCGTGTATGTACGCCGTCTCACCCAGATCGTCGTTGCTTAGAGGTGTATACATGTACGTAGTCGCATCGTTACCCCATCCCATGAGTGTTTTCAAACCAATTAATTAAGTAGATGTTCTTGTAACTGTCCTGTCTGAGCAATAGTTATTTTCAAATTCTATAGGAGACTGGTTATTTGACGAATACTTAGAGTCGTAGCGAGCGAACGAACATGACTGGAAAGCTAGTGGGTATTACCTATTCTAGGAGTAAAAAACAACAGCGATGTTACTGTGACTGTATAAATAAACAACACACCTGTGAACATGAATGTGACGCATTTGCTTGGATAAATCACCCTTAGT